AAGTGCCTTACTAGTAGTAACAGGTGCCTTACTAGTAGTAACAAGAAGCTACTAGGAACAAGTGCATCGCTACTAGGACGATTTGAAGCACAGTTGACTGTTGACCGTTGATCAATAAGAAAGAAACCATAGCACATGAAGATGTAGTACCATCCAGGCAAGGGGATTGAAATATAATCAACAGATATCAACAGTCAACATTCTGGTTAGACATATCGTTTGATTCTGTAACCCTTTCTGTGTAAGATTGTGCAACGCCCAGGCTTCAGGGTCGCCCTTGGCTTGTTTGATGACTGACGAGTGGGATGGTCCTTGCGACACTGCGACTCACTGTCCTAGGTGTAGACGCGTTCTGTACACACTATATACAGCAGATCGTCTAGATAGCACAAAGCTTTGCAAAACTCATAGAAAAATGAGGGTGTTGCCGGTGGCACATCGTTTCGTTGGTCCAAGAGCCAGGCAGATGCAAACCACCGAGAGCACCATGTACACAGATCCACAGGCGCACATGTCGCTTGCCTTTTGGTGGTGGTGTGTTTCCCGAGATAATCACAAAGGCCTTTCTGGAGTTCGATGGTCCGTGCTTCCCATCACAAGGATCATCGCATCATCTCGCATTCCCAGCATCGAGTCTTGATCCAGCCTGTTCAAAGCAGCCCATGCTTCCCCCAGAACCTCAGCCTTTTCGACGCATCCTCGATGCTCCGGGGAGGCGCTCACCGTGGAGCCCATGAATTCGGGCCCTCTCGCCTCAAGTTCCGTCGACGTGCGAGCCTCTGAACCCACCAAGGGTCACACAAGCCTGGTTTTGCGGATCGGGTGATGTTTGAATCCCTGAACTAGGTGAATGGCCTTCTGGTGGACGTTTTCTATTGTTTGATTTAAAAGCATCCTGAGCATCCTGGGGTCCTTTTTGTGGACATGCGGTGTGGAAATGGTGCTTGGTTCATCGATGTTCATCGCGTTTTGAGTCACAGAAATGTGACGATCACTCGCAAAATGGACCCATAAAACTTGCCTTTGGAGGGATAGGATATATGTGTAACTGCTTTGCAAAACCATGTCAAAGCCGACCCAAAACGCGTCGCGTTTCGGGATCCGGGGGCACTGTCCGAAGTCCTCCCCAAAGTGAACCTCGCGATTTCAGGCTCCTCTTTGGTCGCCGAATCGGCCAAGCTTTTCTCCGGCCGGGCACTTGCTTTCGGGTGATGTTGGGTGGATGGTTGCTTGATGTTGCCTGGTCTTCATGAGAAACTGATAGAAGCTGCACTTGATTGTGATTGGGAAGCTGTGAAACACTGGACTCCGCAGGCGACTGGTGAGACGAGCTCTCCACGCATGTTGGTGAAGACACAGAGCACGTTTGGGGAGCCTAGTGGAACTTCGGAACTCTGCGATTGGTCCGTTATTTTTGTCTTCCGTGGCATGCTGAGAAAAGATAGAAATTCCTGCTCTAGTTCTACTTTGCTTGTTTCTGAAGTTTTGGACTTTGTGTAAGGACAGTTGAAGCTCTGCATTAAAGATCAAGAATCTGGCTGACGAAACAGTCTGCAGACATTCCAGCAATTAGCTGCGGACAAGATCAGGAGCATGGCTCCCGATCCATCAGGATCTTTTTAGGGGACACCACTAGTAACACTAGTACCGTCAATGGAGAAGTTTGCTAGAATATCCCAGTCTTGTCTTCGGGCATCCCTCATGCTTGGATTTCAGTCCAATTGAAACAATGGCAAGATTCGTGTTAACTATCTCAGCTGGCGAAAAGACTGGACTTGGTGCCCGTTCGTTTCGCCCTCGCCAGCCTTCACATCCACTCGCCATGAGCCCGGAGATTCGGGTTCTGGGTCTTGCGGGTGAGCTGTGCTCGTTGCGTCTTCCAGCTGAGAGCAAGTTGCCGGAGACCGGATGGGGATGCCGCCAGGATGCTCTAAATAGATGTATATAGTTTTTTTTTATATATACAACAACATATTCAGTAACATATTCATTCATGATTCTGAATCATGACTGATTAATCATGACCATGATCCATGTTTCTAGATCAGGAGAATGGTATGAATGGTATGAACTGCAGGTGACATCTAACACCTCCCCAGAGGTGCCTTCAACGCAACGACCAAAAAGGAATCAGTGTCCAACAACTGTGCAGATGACCATTTTGTGCTTCTACTATCATGTCAGGAGCTGAAGGCTGCCATCCAGAAGGCGCTGGGCATTCCCAGCCACCAGCAGCGCCTCCTCCGCGGCTCTGAGGACGCATTGTCCGGGGCGGTCGGAGAAAATGCGTCCGGACATGCAGATGGTGAGCGGAGGAAAGAGGATGAGAATCTGGAGGACTAGTGACCGGTCCGTCCCGGCAAGTTTGAAGAGGTGCAGCCCTAGGATTCCAGCCACCATTGATTTACTGTAAAAGCCTGAATTCCAAAAACCATTTTGTTTCGTTAACTTATTATGGATTCTACATGATTTTACACTACACAACCGGATCACCCGAACTCTTCTAGTCTTGGAAGGCTAGGGGCACCATACATCAGATCGTCAAAAAGCGAGAATTCGAGCCGCCTTCTTGGCGCGTCCAACGGGACGCATGATCTAAGCCTGATTTGAGGATGATCATCCACCCCTGGTACGCAGCCGCCCTATTCCCAGCAACAGGGAATTTGCCGTTCCGCAGGAGTTCAACGAGTGGGATGGCCTTGGAGAAGACTTCGAGGTGTCTCTACTGCGGCAGGCCGCCCTGACGGACAGCGAGAGATCCTATTGGGCCGAGCAGTTGCAGAAGGTCGGGAAGACGTGGGGACGCAAGTCATGGCGTTCTGTGTTGTCCTGCAGAGTCACGGAAGGTTTATGGCTTCTTGATGTTCCTTGTGATTTTAGTCTTTGGAACCACTGGTTACCACTACATTTAGCTGGGTTACCAGCTATCATAGTGGTAACAATGTGGTAACTGGCATCCACTGGGGTTGCTTTGTGTCTCCTCAGCTAAGCATTGCATTGCATTGCATGCACCTTTCAGATCCTTTCAGACACCCTGCCTGTGCTGCAGACTCGTTGTACTGTTTTCGAGGATGGAATGGAGCTGCTCTATGCCCCCGAAGAGGTCCAGGCAGATCGAGAGCTGGTGATGCTGGCAGCGGCTGGAATGAATTTTCGAATGGAGTCCTGTGGGTCGACTTTCGTGGGAAGTCACGGCGCACGGATTGGTCGGATGGATCCAGCATCCTTGATACAGGTGGAAAACGGTTTACCTGTTTGTTCCAAGGAAAATGTTGTCATTTGTATCAAATGACCGTGTCATCCGCTTCCATTCGATCTGAATTGTCCTGAATGGGAACGGTTTCTCCCCAAGAGTAGATTGTTCAGACAAAACCTCCAAATACCTCCAAATACCTCCAAGACACCAAACACCAGGAAAGAAAACCCAAACCTCCAGGACACCAAACACCAGACAAATCCAAGAGGAGGACAGATCCCGGGGGAGAAGAGCACACCCAACACCAGGACATCGAAAACGAAAAGAAGGACATGTTGGTCGCTCGGAGCGTTCGATTCGGATCCAACATGATCCAACTTTCGGACCGTTCCTCGGGGAGCCCTCAGAAACCGTTTGGACCGTTTACTATGATCCACTCATATTATCTCATGTTCACTCCAATCCTTGGTGAAAAAAAGGAGCAACACCAGAACTTGGATGAACTTGGGACACTTCGGATGCGAGGTCCAACAGGCTGGCGAAGCCTTGGCCATTGCCGCCGACGACCTGCACCACGACCGCCCGGTGGTCCTCCATGCAGTGGCCTGGAGGATGCAGTTTATTGCGCTGAGTACATAACAAAAGGGCGCAGAACATGAGGTCTTTGGACTCTTTGGATGTTCGTTGGATTCTGCCATGCATCCTGCTGCCGTTGGGTGGACCGTTGTAATTTTGGCATCGCAACCGCAACTGGAGTGGGAGAGCCAGGGCGAGAGTCCCCGAATCTTCGGGAAGAGATTGACAGGTCCTGAAGCCCCATGCTCAGTGTCCATGTTGTTGGTGAAGACCTGTTTTTGCCTGAGTAATAGAACTGATTATTGTTCATACTGTATATGTTCTTATATAGGTATACCTAGAACTTCTTCTTGGGCAGAAATATCTGCCTATTGTGGGTAAAGGCGCCTTTGTCCTTTGTCCTTGCTTAAGGCTGGGGCGTTGTTGCCCCTTAAGGGTTCTTGTCCTTTGGTGGCAATCCTGGTTTTGCTTAAGGATATTTTCTATTTTGCCCAATGCCCACACTGGAATAAACACTGCCAGAAGGTTTGCTATTTGGGGGGGTTCAAAAAGGTGCAATTCGACTTCAATTTGCGGGAGGGTCAATTAGGAGAGGTCACCAAGACTAAACCTCTTCATGAGGAGAGGCCCCAAAGACTAAATATCCTCATGACGAAGTCTTTTGAGCGGTGAATTGATTGATTTGATTGATTGAATGATTGATTGATTGAATGATTGATTGATTGATTGATTTTGCTCGTGCCCTCGCACCTGTTTTCACTTCGATATTGAAACGGCTTCGAGTACAGTTCTCGTTTTGTGCGTGTCTCTCTGACCTGCACTCCTCCCTGGTCGTCAGGTTTTTTCGTCTGACGACCAGCCAACTGAAAAAGTGAGCCTCTAGCTCAAGCCGCTGTCCTTGCACAGTTTGCACTGCCTGATTTCAAGCATGGCTCCTGTGACACATTTACACCTCGCGTCAGTGTGGAAGTTGCCCACCTGATCCTCATAGATGAAGTTCACCGCCCCCAAGCCATTCTGTTCTCGTGTTGACTGCTGGCAGATTCCACAAATTGGATGTCCTCGAACTCTGTTGGCCTTTCGAAGTCTCCGGCATTCCCTCCTTCGGTGAAAGCACTGACTGGACTCGGCAAACCAAGCTTCCCATGGTGGATCCAACGCGAATCTCCTTCGCCTTCCTGTCAAGGAAACTTGTAAGTGCTGCCCCGACGGTTGGTCGATCTGGTTTGGAGGTTCTTCACATGGTTCTTCTGGTTCCAAGTCATCATCCCCTTGAGCTACTTGATGTCCTTGAGTTCTGGAATCATACTGCTCTGCAGGTCGACTCCCATTCCCTCTCGTAGACGCCAATGAACTCCTCGAAGTGTTTGCATCCCAGTGCCTCCCGTGGTTTTGACGCCCTTGCACTGTGTCAGACCTTCCACTTCTTTCGCCACTCGATCTGGTAGTAGGTCTTGTACCCGATGTAGTCCCATCGGATGCCACCCTCATGCTCCTCATGGTTGGATCTTCCCTGGGTCGATTCCAACGCGTATGGCATCGTTGGAGAATCTTCATCAATACCATTCCCAGGATCATCATGATCACCCCGAACGTGTAGAGCACTTCAGAACCATCGTCATTTCCTGACTCTTTCTTTGTGTCGTTCTGCGCAGCCAATGCTCCATGAATCTTCTGGAACATCGTAATGACCGTCACCAACTGTGCAATCTTCTTGAAGTCGTTCTCCAACCACAGGCGGTTCACGACCGGAAGATCTTCTTCTAACTCATCTTCTTGCCTATCTCCCCCTTTTGGTTGCCACCCCATCTCCATATTTCGCATGAGGTTCTGCATGCGAGTTGGTGCTAACACCTTTGTCCCAATGTACTTCAAGTCCCAAGCCCCAGCTTCAAGTTTCCATCGAAGATGTGCTGCCCTCACTTTCAGGTGGCGCGTCCTCCATGCTCCTGTGGCGGAGCTTCCCAAAGCGATGGCCGCCGTATTGTCACACTTCAGGACCTTTGTCATGTTTCCAGCCATCTCTTCAACCAAGCAACTCATACTGTCCCCAAGAATGACTGACTCAATGACCTCAATCAGCTCGGCCTCTGCAGTGGATAGTGCTGGAAAAGGCTGTTTGGAAGACTTCCATGCAATCGGTGACCCACCCAACAGAGTGATGACCGCACCATGCGAATGTCGTCCTCCAGGCGCAAACGAAGCGTCACTGGTTGACTCTAGCCCAAAGCCACATTTCTTGCGGTACCAGATGCCAACTCCTTGAGAGTGATTCAGATATAGCGCATGACCTGATAGGACGCCTCCAGGGCCCAGACTGGAGCTCTAGACGTAGATGAGCAGATCCTGCTCACAGCGTAGGAGATGTCTGGTCTTGTGTTCGTGGACAGCCATAGTAGTTCGCCTGCTGCTTGTTGTGCTGCTCGGATGTCATGTGTAGTTCGGCTGTCGTCCTCATCACCAGGTTGGATGCTCTGGCGTCCATGGAGTGCCTTCTCAATAACTCTCTCAGGAATCCACTCTGGTTGATGAAGAAGCCTTCCGTGTTCCTGTAGATGTCAATCCCACAGAAGCGCAACGGATCTTCTCCAGCCCACTGTGGTTCCGTTGTCTCCCAAGTCTGAGACACCTTCTTCGTCTCGCTTCTTCAACCACTTGAGGATCTCCAAGGACCAACAGGTCATCAACATAGACCAATGCCAACCCACGCACTAGGCCAGAAGACCCATCTGCCCGGTCCTTCTCTCTCAGGATCCAAAGGTTCTCACCTGCAAAACTCTGGTTGAAGGCGATCTGAATGTCGTTTAGCTTGAACTTCATAGTCGACAGTTGAGCATCACGGTGGTCACCCCACAGCTTTGGTGCTTCTCTTAGGCCATAGAGTGCCCGCTCAACCATCCACATTTCTCCTTCTTGAACTAGGCCCAACCGAATCAGGATCCGTGGGGGTTGCATCAGGACCAAACGCTCCCTTCGGTTTGGATCCGTCTTCTCCTCCACCTCCGGCTCCATTGGTTGTTGCCCACCTTCTTCTCGATCTTCCAGAGCTTGAAGCTTCTTCTTCTTGCTCTCCTCCACCGTGCACAAAGGGGCATTCAAGAAGGCCGTTTTCACGTCCAGCGCAGCTGCTGTCCAATCGTTCTGAGCACCCACAGCTAGTGCTGCTCTGAGACATGCGGTGTCTGCCCCACCGGCGTATAGTTGTGCCGCCTCCTGCTTGGCTCCTCCTGCTCCAGCACCACTGAGATAATTGCCGCACACTACTAAGCGGCACTTCTTGCGAGCGTCCGGGGCCTTGATGGAGTGAATCGCTTTCCCTGGGACGATTTCTAGCTTGTCGCTATGTTCTCGTCGATAATACGCCACATCTTGTGGAGTCAGCCTCCGGATGGCTTTCTTCTCTTCCAGCGATTTGATTTCCTTCACTATCGCCTCGATCCAGTCGGCCTTATTCAAAAAGACTTCCTCGTTCGGGATGATGCGAGTCTGGAGGATCTCGTCTTCCTCAGGTCTTGTTGCCTCAGCTTCTTGTTCTGCTCGAAATGGAGCTAGGCCACGCTGCAATGCTGGAACTTCTCTTGCTTCAGAACCCAGCATGTGTTGTTCCTCGTCGTACAGGACTCGAAAGAGGTTGACTCTTTGTCTCTCTTCCTCCTCTTCTTCCTGAGTTTTCAAACATGCAACACTGGCCTTTTCCCTGAGTCTTCGTCTCAGCCTCAAGGGATCCTCATCCGCCGTCACCTCAACTAGTGCCAGCTCGTCCTGATCCTTTACCGGCTCCTTGATGTCCTTGATCGTGTAACTCACAACCTTCACGAACCCCCTGTCCGTAAGGACGGCATGTCCCTTTGACACCTCCGGAACTGGTGTGAGGTACTTCACCTGCTCTCCAGTGGACTCAAAGGCTCCTTGATGCAGCTCCCAGGACCTCTTCTTTACCACCACTGTCTGTCCGAAGTGAGGCAACTTCTCAGTGATCTTCTCCCTGCGACGTCTCTCCAGTTCTACCACATGCCTTGCAGCTGCCGGCCACCAGCACACCTCCATTCCAGCCCCATGCAGTAGTCGTCGCACTCTCTGCTTAATGGAGTTGATAGCCGCCTCAGCTCTTCCATTCTGGGCATGTTCATCAGGGCAACTGGTAGTTCTCGACAGTCCCCTTTCCAAGCACCATCGCCTGAATGAACCATTACAGAACTCCCGTCCTTGATCAGTGTGAACTCGTCCAACTGGGTACCCATGACGTCGAAGTCGGGTGAAGAGTTCCTGAGTCCCTGCCAGGACTTCCTGTGCGCTCTTTGAACCCAGCGGAACACAGAGCATCATCGTAATAACGACCTTAGTCGGCTTGTTCTTCTCTTTCAGTTCCTCTTCGGTCGGTTCTCCTTGCACGACCTCCTCCGGCTTCTCATCCTCTTCAGGAGAGCCTTGAACTGGCTCTTTCTCCTCACCCGGTTCAAGTTCTCCTCCTGGATGAACTTCCATCCTTTCTTCATCTTCGTGAACTCCAGGTCCCTCCGCCTCAGACTGGGGAAAGTAGTCTTCCATGTCAGGATATTCGTCTTGCCAAGGCTCCCGAATTGGCTCCAATGGGGGAATTCCTTCAGCTTCCTCCTCCTCCAAGATAGGCCATTCTGGCTTCCCTTCGAAGATCTCGTCTTTTTCCCACTCGTGTCCTTCATAAACTGGCCACGTGTAGGATCCCACCAAGAGATACTTCTTCTCATCCCCATCGATGTCTTTTCCCTTTGCAAAGGATCCAGACAAGTCCAATGCAAGAACGCATGGTTAGGAAGCAGACCTTTGGATTTAGTCGCAACTTTGAATCTTGCCCCAACCTCACATCTCTTCCCATCTGGGCCACCACCTGGAGAAGGATCATCCGGTAGAGAAGAACATCATCAGTGTAGCACTTGGCAGCTTCCGCTTCGCTATTTCGTGGAAGTCCCCATGGATATGTCGTTGTCCTTGATGGTCCAGGCATCCTCTCATGTGGCTGATGCCTCAACGTTGACCTCGTTCGGCAGTTGGGACCTCCCAAGATTCCATCCACCCAACCATCCATGCACATCCTCAGAAGGATCGCAAACATGCCGTCATCGGCCATCATGTCGTGGGACTTGTCCCTGAGGATGTCCACCTCAAAGATGCGAGTGGGGTCACCTCCCATTTCCTTCACCGCCCTTTGCAAGTAGTACCCCTCTTTAGGCCCTGCGTAGAGATGCACCGTTACTCCCTCTCGCTCTCCCACCTCCGACGAATCCGTCGATTGACTTGCAGTCCACTTAGATCTCTTGCCGGAGTGTCCACCAACTTGTCCCTGATCCTCTGCGGCGTGTTCTGGAACTCCGGAAAGTCTCGAACCACCTGATCGAGCCAGTTGGTGTGAATGCCTTCATCTGCAAAGACCTGACACCTCAGTGCCATCCTTGAATTGGACTCTTCAAGCTCCTGGATGAGTGCCAGTGCTTCTGCATAAGCTACCATGGGACAGCCCTCAACCAACTCCACATCGATGAGGTCCCTCAGTGGGTGCAGCAGTCGGCAATGATCACCCTCCCATTCCAGGTTGCAGCCGAGGTCCTTGATCAACCGACCAACTGGGACTATGGGCTCAACCCCTTCATCTACATGGACCAGCGCCTGCCCTTCTGTCATCCGCAAGGTGAGCCGTCCCCCTGCAGCCAACGACACTTGAACTTGCCTGTACCGCTCCCGGTCGTCGAGGTCGTAGTGCATGAGTTGCCCCGGTGTCCTCCAGCTTGAACCCTTGCTACTGACACTGCCTTCATCGTTGGAGTCGCCTCCTTGATCTTCCTCAAGGCCTCGACCAAATCCGACTCCTTGGACTTCTCCCCCTGGAGCGACATGCCCCTGAGCATTCTCTGTGCTTCATCCAACACCTGCTTCAAAGCATCTTGATTACCTCCCTCCATCAGTTCCGACCCACATGTCGAAGGAGGTGATCTTGGATTCGGGAACACTGAGGACGACGTTTCCGACGGTGCAGACGACGAAGCTCCTCCCGCATCCTTCACCTTCTGGATCTTTGGCTTAGGATCGGGGCGCTTTCCATCGCCCTTGCCGCCATCTCCACCAGTAGCTCCAGCTTTGTTCGTCTCCTTTCGAGTGCAGTCCTTGGCATAGTGATTTGTAGCCCCACAGACATAGCACCTCTTTTCTCCAGGCTCAGCTTGATGCTGCCATCGGCAAGCTGCTCCTCGTCGGCATCCTCCATCATGCAGATGCCCGGACTCTTGCCATCTGGATTTCCTTCTCCTTTCTTTTCATCAACGAAGGCCGCCTTGATCTGTGGACCTCCTCCCTGATTGCCAGCTCTCGGAGCTCCCGCAGTCTTGGGCCTGACTCGATGCATGAGTTGTTCAAGTTCAGCAAGTAAGTGCTCAGCATACGTTTTGACCGTCTCCTTTGTTGGGATCGTGTCTAACTGCAACGTGTTTCTCACCAGTGAACATCTGAACTGCAAGTCCGACTGCTGGGCCAATACCTTCTGGCTCAACCTCATGATGCCCTTCATCAAAATCGTTGAGTCAGGAAGATTCAAACCAATATCTGAGGCCCGTCGAAGCCAGCGCATCCACTTGGTACATGCCTCAGCTGGTGAAGTAGCTTCTGAAGGCTCTTCAAGTTGTCTCAGGATGATAGACCGCTCATGCGTCCCACCCGGTTGATACAAGACCATGAGCTTGCTGACCAGCCTCAATGGAGAAAGTGCTCTCGCGGCCACCAGTTCCTCCTTCACGCTCGTCGGCGCAGCTGCAAGCATCATGCTGATGGCCCGCTTTTCCACCCGGACCCATTTGGGCTTCTGCAACTCCAAGGATGGCTCGATGACGCAGGTCGCTCGTTGAAGTGGTCGAAGATGGATGTAGTGGCTATACCATTTTCGTGCCTCATCCACCACCAGCTCGCACCACTCAAGTCAGTCATCGCTGGTTCTATCAACGTGAGCCAGTCAGTCAAGTCAATCGGCGCCGAATCCGCCGGTTCAGGAAGCGTAGGAAGTGTCACTGTTCCAGGCTTCACCGATTCTGGGGCACCGTCTCGGCTCTCCTTTTCCACAAGATGGTTGACCAGCTTGGCCATCACCTCCATCATCTTTTCACCCTTGACCCCATCTTGACTTCCTGAGGCTTCGGGCTGAGTAGGCTGGGTTGCCGTAGATCTCCTCCGAGATTGACCAACACCTTTTCCACTGACCTGTCGGAGCTCCTCTTCGTAGGCCTTGGCTCTGGCTGCCACCGACCCCTTTGTCTGCTCCTCTGTAGTCCTGACGTTCTCGGCCCTTGCAACGACCTCGAACGCTCCCGTTGTCCACGCCCACGACCTCCACGGTTGCCAGGGGCAGGAGTGCCCATGAGGGATTGAAGCTGTTCGAACTGCTGCATTGGCGTCAGCTCATAGAGACGCTTCCTCTCCTTCTCAAGGTCGATCTCCTTCTCCAGTTCACCTGCTGTCATCTCGAGATGGCGATTCACAGTGTCTCCACTCTCAGGTGTCCGAAACATCTGCTGCTCCAGCTCCTGTTGCAGGTCGTGCACCTTAGCCTCCAAGCTTGCTTGCTGGAACTTCATCACATCCATCATCTCGGCCTCGGCCTGTTCCACCCGAAGCTGCTGGTTCTCTTGTCTCAGCATTGCAAGCATGGTCATTATCTCCTGCGAGTTCGGTGGACCTGACCCATAGTGATGTCCATGCTGCCATCCACCAACCCCAAGCCCTTGACCTTGTAGATGCGGTCGTCCAGCAAGTAGTGGATTCCCTCTTCCTTCATTGTGAGGCATCACATACCCTGGAGGTCTGCCTTTTCCATACCCTTTGATGATATGACGTTCTTGGTATTCCGGTCCATGGCCTCGTGCTTGAACCGCAAGTTGATCTTGTAGTCGAGCTCGGTCTTCATCACTCTCTTCTGGCTCTTCCACTTCCGGGACTTGCTGATTCGGTGATCGGCCTCTTTGAGGTTCCCGAAGATCATGTCCTGGGCCAGGGAGAGGAGATGGAGTTCCCGTAGTCGTGCTCTGCTGAGGTGGTTGTCCTTGGTCTTGTGCTCCACCACCTGGACGCCACACACTCTCTCGAGGCACCTTGGCATAGAGATGTGGTGCTTGGCTTTGGACTTCATGAAGGTCTCGGAGCTGCTCTGGCGAGAACAAAGGAGTCGTTGGTGGTCCTAGGCTCGTCGGCCTTCCCTGGTCCTTGACACTCCCCTTGTTCCCCATCTTCTAGAGCCAGTTGCTCCTCTCCTTCATCATGCTCTTCTCCATCCGCCAGCGCCGCAGCCTCCACAGCCGCATCGCCATCCGCCCCGCTGCCGCTGCCAGCTGCTTGCCGACGTCGCCGTGCCATCATACAGCGCCGAAGGCTTGGGGCCGTCCCGTCACACCTGGGGTCTTACACCTGCAACGTTGGGCTCATAACTGCTCGTGCCCTCGCACCTGTTTTCACTTCAATATTGAAACGGCTTCGAGTACAGTTCTCGTTTTGTGCGTGTCCCTCTGACCTGCACATTTGATTGATTGATCGAATGATTGATTGTGCAATGCATAAACTGTGGGAGAATTGTTCCAAGGCCGGGGAGAGGGGTTGAATGGAGGGGTTATGGGGGACCGCCTTTGCGCGCTTGAAAAACAATTAGGCCAGGCTTATCCGGGCTTTATAAAGAACATATGAAGGATTCTGGGTGATTTGGGGTGATCTGTGGCCAGATAGATCAAGAGCAATGAACAATGATATTCGTATGAAGAAATGGGTCCAGGAAGCATTGAGATGCATTCAAGGATGTTTACAAGGAGAATCTGGTGAGAAGGAACGTCGAGGCAGAAGATATGGAAGAAGCCATCGGAAGACATGCAGGATTCTACGAGTGATTGGAGTTTGGGGATATTGGAGTTCGGTGGAATATTTGAGTTATGAGCCCCCACATTAAGGTCAACAAGGTTTGAGGTACCATAGGATGAGGGATTGGTCCAACCATACTAATTGGTCTGGGAAGTGGAGGGTGGACGGCAATGAGTATTGAATCAAAAACACAGCACTAAAACGGTCGGTGGACCAAAATAATAGGAGGGGGATGGAGGGGGCTTGTTGTCCGATTTTTTCTTTGGGCCAGATGGTTTTTTGAAGAGCGCTTAATATTGGAGGCCCCGAGGGGGGCCAAACTAACTGGGTGAATTTATTAATCCGGTGTTGAAATTATGGGTGAACCCGTTCTGTTGAATATTTTCCGGTTCCTTCAGCAGCCCCAAGCAGTAAGGATCCATCCACCACTGTTTCCAGGAGTTTCCACAGTGATGAACATCATTTGTACATCAGAATCAGGAATTCAATTGGCGTTTCATTTGCATGTTCATGTTATAGTGTGTTCGTTGTTTTTACATTCTTAGCAAAACGGGCGGTATGTTCAGCCTAAGTTAGGCAGAAATTATGGCCTAGTGAAGATCTTTCTAGGTGTGAATCTATTTGTGTATATATATATATATATATGCATGCCTAATCATGCCTATATCAGGTGTTTTTTGGGTGGGGCGCAAGAGCCCCCAAACGAATGGATTCTGCGACTCTTGAAAGGGGAGTTCGTAGGGCCGAGCAGGCAAAATTCCAAGAAAACCCCCCTGTTTGAAGGAAGACAGGCGTCCATGAGATCTGTGGGTAATGTTTGCATTATTTCTGCATCAAAACTCTGTAGATGTCCCCATGTCTTTAAGACCCCTAAACACTTCACCATCCTGCACGGTGAAAGCCATGTATTGGGCCGCTTTCTTCATCAGGTGAAGCAAAACGGCTTATCCTTGACCTATGCCTCAGCAGCGCTGAAAAATGATAAGGACAGATGCCCTTTGCATTGTGCAAAGTGCCGGTCAGAACCAAACCCTCCAAAATGCTGCAATGGTGCATCGGCCGATTAGGGGTTCATATTGGAATCGTGGGGTATGTGGATCGATTCGGTGTGGGCTTTGGATTTGGGTTGGTTTGCAAGTCCATTGTGCCAATCTAAAAACAATATGTATGGTCTTTTGCCCCCGGAGGTAAAGAGTTAGGAGACCGTTTTGGTTCCGTAGTGTTTTGCGGTTCAAGCCTATATAGAGCTCGATTATACAGGTGTGTGTGATATATATATATATAATATATATATATATATATTATAGAGCTCGGTTCTGTCGTTTTTGGAGGTCAGCCAGGGAGGTTTGGATGTTCAAATGATGCACTGGCTTGTGTTGGCTTCCTTCTCGAGGCTTTGCCCTTGAGAAAGCCTTGGTCTGTGGTACTCGGTAATCACGAAGCTAGCCGCGAGGCGAAAGCTTGAGTTGTCAAGCTGACTCAGCAACTGGGGGTTTGTAGGTGGCCAGGGCCTCGGCGACATCAACAGCAACATTATATAGTGCGCGTGAAGTTGGCTGTCTTGTTTTGGAGCGTGGTCAATGTCGCCGGGGTCTTTCAGATTTGCATTGTGTAGAGCCGTAAGTGCACTTTTCCGGCAAATAAAGGGATACTCCTTTAGAAGCTTGGCCTTGAATAGTTTTTTGACATGATGTTTTTTGACGTCCCAGAGGAATCTATACAGCCCGTCTTGTAGTCACTCCAGGCCCAGTCATTCTGTAGTTATATAACCATAATAGTGATTTGTCCAGAACTTAGACCTAAGGAAGAACGTTGTAAGAAACACTACCACTAGATGTTTTCAACATTCCAGGTTGGATAACTCAAAACCAGAGGTTTGATGTGCTTGAAGGGTGAATGTTTGTTATACTGAGACTGTAAGTGTCTCTTCATGAACATGTTTATTTGTGTTGTTTTTCCGACAAATCAGGTGTTTCAAGACAGGTGAGTGACGATGGACGATTTGCTAGAATGAAATGCAATGAAATGGGAGGTTGTCGGAAATGTCGTGTGGTCCCGTTCAGACACGCAGGAACACATTAGGTTAAACCATGTTGTAGAGATTTAGGGGGTGAAACCATTAATTCTGTACAGCCAGATAAATGTTTACGAGGATCTAATTTGGGATCTTCACCCTTGCTGCCCTGGAAACTGTTTTGTGGGACTCGGCTTTTTTTATGTCCCTCAAGCTGGATCCATCGTGATCCCTTTTCCATCCATATCCACATTTCCACCGCGGACCGGTTGCCACTCAGCCAGCACTCGGCCAGGACTTGGTCTTGACCGCCGTGCGGCAGAACGGCTTGGCGCTGCGCCACGCGGACGGACGCCTGCGGCGGGATCCTCAGGTGGCCATGGCTGCTGTGCAGCAGAACGGCGCGGGGGCCGAGGAATGTAGAAGCGATGAATAAACGCTTCAAATGAAGAGGTTGTTTCAATCCAAATATGTGGGTTCATTAATTAAGATTCCACATTACGAGAGGTCAGAGGAAAGGAGGAAGAATGGAAGGGACATGTGAGGGAACCCCAAGGATCATGAAGGATCCTTGTTAAAGATGGAGTGAAAGAACTCTATATAAGATTATCAAGAGTGCAGATGAGCGCTGGAAATTGGCCAAGGTGTTCTAAATTCATGTGGATTCGAGTTGTTCAGACAGTGATATAGATAGAAATGATATGAGGCACCGTAACTTGATCATCCTTGCCTGGTTGTGAATGAATATGAATGAATCATGCCACAATTTTGCCCTGCCCGCAGGCTATGTCATTTCGGATTCTTCCTTCGACGCAAGCTTAAGAGATGACCCAGACATCGCCCTAGCAGCAGTCTCTTACGATGGCTGTGCCCTGAAGCATGTGTCTGCGCAGTTACGACACCTGGTCTTCAGTCGATATTCTCGAGGTGTTTGGCACAAAGAGGAAAGTGTAGTGTAGATGTTTTGCGTTTGTCTCAACAGCAAAACCCTGACTTCAACTGCACTTGTGGCCATAAGTGGCGCTGGCTGGGGAAAGATGTACTTCGAAGGTTGGATTCACAGCCACCGACCACTGACGTGCACACGTTGAAGTCTCAGGAAAGGATCGGCAAATCGTTTTGGCTGCTGTGCGATCCAATGGCAACGCCATTATGTGGGCAGATCCAGTCTTTAGATCTGATCGAGAGGCTGGATGCCATTGGGTGCAGTTCTTGTGCTTTTTGCTCAAGATTGGCTATATGTCTCAAATGACGGGAACCTCCAACCTTATCCCTCTCAGGAGTGTGTTCTATCGATTTCATGATTTTGCACCAGACACACCCACCTGTATAGAGGTTTCACCTATCCTTCATGTCACGATGGAAGAAGTACATGTTCTCTCCTGCCAATTGGCCATGTTCAATTGAGTTCAAGTTCTCCTTTCTCTCGTGTTTCTTCCCGCCAGGTGATGCTGCAGGCGGTGCGCTACCATGGCACCTTACTGCGGTGTGCTTCGGAGGTGCGTTACCAGGGGTCGTCGACTCGCTGTCTCAGTGGTTTCTAAGTAGATGAGTATAGATGAGGGATGGGATGGGTCACACCCTTGGTGTTGTTTTGTATGTAGTCCTCATTTGAATTCATCTAATGTGTAAGTTCTGAAACCAAATGGATCACTGTGGAATGAGAAGGCGGCGGCGGAGAATGTAAATATGTTTACACTTGAGAGGTTTGACATGGTTTGACCAGACTTGGTGTTCCCCTTCTGGAACAATTAGAAAGCTGCAAGATCGACATAGTGGCGTTGGGAAGCGTTCCGGGAATGCAAGTGAGACATAGGCAAAGTTGACGATCTTAAGGGCTAGTTGGGAGACAGACATGGAACACAAGTCGTGACTCGTCCAGTTTTTGTTGATAGGCAGTTCAAGTTCACACATCTTCACCCGGCCTTGAGTGCTTTGTTCGAACCTTTTGGGCACCCCTAATTAAGGTCAACGAACGAGGGACACGAAGCGCGGAGTGGCCATGGCCATTAGCACTCCAGGACCTTCGTCACGACCGCGAGGTGGTCTACCAGGCAAGTCTCGCTGAGCCTCATGGGGGTCAACCGGAGCCAAAGGGCGTGGATGCTTTACTTAACCTGCTCAACCTTTTTGGGGGATGGGTTGGCCCACCAACATCCAACAGGCTCGGGGGGTTGGACACAACATCCCAGGTGTTTGAACGGCCATCCGGCCATCCGGCCAAGGACTAAGACTGCTGGGAAGATGTGAAAACGGGGGTCTTTCCTGCAGATCTCGACTTTGAGAGGTTTCTGAAGACCTTTCAAGATGGGAAAGGTGGACTTCCTCACTCCAACAATCATGGAAGTGAAACTTTGAGAAGCGCGATGTCCCGCTACAAATCCATGTTGGTTGGAGGGAAGATAAGGCTCTTGAGGGGGCAGTGACTTAGAAGTGCCTAAGTGGTTTTGAGCTTTGTCTAGCAGAAGAATGGACGCTTTTCTCTATGGAGCCGTGTTGTAGATAGACATACAGCACACCTCAATCAGCTGACCGTAAGACCACTTGTGTAGGACTGTCGGAAGAGAGGGCCTGATCTCCGGCACCGTGACACCCCAAAGATCCCGGCACACTACTAGTAACGAAGGGTATTTCTACTAGGAGCAAGGACGCTACTAGTAGCTCCTGGCCTTACTTCTAGGAACAAGAAGCTACTAGAAACAAAGGGCATCGCTCCTGGGGGCAAGGAGGCTACTAAGCAAAGGTTGTGGATTTGTGTCATTTCAGGCAGTCCTGGGCCATGGTTATGCCTTGTTCCTCGGCAGACAGCTGCTGCCCAGCAGTTTTTTGATGTGAGCGATTTTCCTGAGAGCAGATGAACCATGATGATTATGGAAAGGACAAGTGAACCCGATGTTTTTCTTGTACTGTACTACACAGAGGATCCAGTCACATCCAGTTGCCACTAGAATCACTATAGTTTCCTTGATGGCCAGAGGGTCCAAAGACCCAAAACATGCATAGACAGAGCAAACCCGGTGTTCCTTGCTAGAGCCACTGGGATCCGCCTGGTAGGAAACCAAGGGTATAGACGGTATGGAGTGGGAGGGCTTTGCTACGCTATTAGGTGGAGGCCATCGCAAGTAGGTTGGAGGCCATCGATACTAGGAACAAGGACGCTACTAGCGACCAGTCGTTCCTCTGAGATCCTATGCCTCGACGCCTTTGCGGGCGGATCCCTTGCAGCTCGGATGCAGGGACAGAGAGAACACCTTGGGATCCTTGAGGAAGGTCGGGAGATTGGGCATTTCAGCTGCTTTATGGTGAAAGAAACAGTTTCTCATGTCATCCCATGTCATGTTTTCCAAAAAGAAGTGTTTGTTGTTTTCAAATCTCATGACCAACTTCCAGCATTTCCCAGCCATTTTGAGGTTGCTACGCCTGTCATCTCGCCCACACTGTCATATTCCAATTCGCCTGGAAGACGAGAAGATTGTTTACATCGAGGACTGCAGTAGGTTTGGACTGCAAATGTTGGTTCGGCTCATCTTCCACTTGCTGAAAGGCGACTAGAGATGGAAAAGTGATGAATTGTTTGTGCTTCAAGATTCAAGATGTTTCAAGTGTTCTGCTTGACATGGTGACATGGGGCCGTATTCAGCCATTCTGAGAAGAAAACGACCTGTTAATCAAGCGCACTTTAACTTTTGGCCAGCACTGCTCCGACGGAAGCCCTGCAGCAGCAAGGATGGGGACGATCGCTGAGTGCGAAAAAAGTGGTGTTTGGTGGACCGAAGGGAGGTTGTTGGTGCGCGGGTTCCAAAAAACAGATCCCAAATGATGCCAACATCTCCAGAATCGTTTGTGTGCGTATGTGACAGATGACATCACATTGTTAGACATTGTTGGAGAGTTTCGACATGTCTTGGCCCATACCTCAAGGAGATGGATCTAGAATCTAGAGATATCTAGAGTCTCCATGTTTTCTATCCTTCGCAGCTGCAGCTGACTGAAATTCAGTGACCACTTGAGGGACATGTTGTCGGATAGGGACTTTTGATCAATCCAACCTAAAGGGCATGAGATCAGTTCCACGCAGGTGCTCCCAACGTCCGCGGGTCGAAACTGGCTCAGAATTCACATTCAAAGAAAAGGTGACAGTTAGTCTCTTGCGCTGCCTGGATCAAAAGAACCATGGCTCCCGTTTCTTGGCTCCGTTGCGAACGGTGACCGATGGGCGACCCGAACGAACTGGGGCGATTGCACCACCCTGACGGATGCTGTTGGGTTCAAGTCTATGAGCAACAGCCGATATTTGCCCCAGAGTTTTTCTGGAACCCATCTAACCAGTGTGGTTTGTAGAAGACCATCGCTGATACATTGGGGGTCTAGAGTCTAGATGGTCAAATAGATCTCTATTTAGTGGATAGATTATCGCCACCCCTTTAACCATGAAAAGGGGAGGGGGACCCAAAATGCGCAAAATGTAAGTTACATTTTTGGCAACCCCCACCCAAAAAAGAATGTAACTTACGTTTTGCCACGTTTTTCGGAATCATACCTGTAGGGGGGCGGGGGGGTCCAGGAAAATGTAACTTGATACGTGGGGACGTTCTAAGTTACATTTTTGGAAGACCAGAACGGATGAGAGGGGGGGTCAACAAATGGACCTAAAGCTTCCTTTCAGATCTTTCAGGACAGCCTGGGACCGTGGGCACGCGTGCCACATGCGTCCACCCTTCTGGGCAAATCGAACAAGCGTCCTTGCTCCTAGTAGCGACGCCCTTTGCTGCTAGTAGTAAGGCCAGGAGCCCCTAGTAGCGTCTTTGCTCCTAGGCCAACTTGAAGTCCTCAGACTACTACGAGGTCTTGGGCGTCCACCGCGACGCCAGCGAGTCCGAGATCACCAAGGAGCGATGCTGATGCCGACGTTCTCGACCGGTGGATGTCCACACCAATGCCGGACCGGGCGAGGTCCGGGTGACCAGAGATTCAAGCTACATCAGTTGGTATATCCATTGGTACATCCATGATAGATTGACGCTCCTTCCAGGCCATGAAAATAGAAAAGGTCTATTTGGTAGAGGACCATCCTTGAACTGATGGGGGCCATGCCATTGCATTGCCACGCCGCCTAACTTCATTCAAAGAGCTGTTTTTCAGAAGTTTTACAAGGTGGTCACCTGCTTGGTGTTGACATTCCTTCCCATCGGCTTCACATCCTCACGATGGACGTCCATTTGGTTTGTTTTCTGGGGGTCAACCAAGAACGTCGGGGTGTCACAACCAGCCACAACCCGGTTCGCCATGTCCTTTTTCATGTTTTATCATTATTGTTTGTTTCCACCCTGTAGTGAAGCCCCTTTGGGGCAATAGTTTTTACAAGGAAGGGTGTACATTCTTCCCTGCCCCTCACTGCCATTTTCTTATTGCAAGCTGCCCAAGCCGTGTTGCTTTCGCATTAAGGCCTATCGGAAGCTGGCTTTGAAACATCACCCAGACCGGAATCTGGACAGGAGCCATGGATTGCGCAAGGAAAATGAGGAAAGAATGGGATGTCGGAATTGTTTGAAGTGCACTCCCTGAAAAAATCATGGAAGTTGGAAACCACCATTTGTAGAGGAACATGGTCATCCAAGGGGCCGTTTTCCACTTCCATGACAATTTCAGGCAGTGTATAGTGATGGTGGTGTCCCACCTTTTCAGAGATGGTTCGCAATAAATTGGTGGAGCTACAGTAACACGTAACGTAACGTATCGTAACGTATCTTTCATTGGGTGGGGGGCCATAAGAGGATGAAAAACGGCCGTCATCCACGACATTCATAGAAAGTATGTAGGTGACAAACGGGAAAACCTGTTAATTAAGAATAACTAAATAACTTAATCCTGGTTTTGCGGATCGAGTGATGTTATTTTCCCAAACTGGGTGAATCCCCTTTGGGGGGAATGTGTATTTCTTCCCGGCTTCTGAATCAGCAAATCCAAGTCACTGTCCACCTCACAAGCACGGGACCAGCACGGGAAGCTCCAAGGAAAGAGGAGGCTGAGGATGAGTTTAAGCGCTTGGCCGAAGCCTACGATGTCCTGAACGACCCTGAGAAGCGGAAGAAGTACGACCAGTTTGGCAAGGAGTGATGGATCATGGATCCTTGTGGTTGTTTCGGTTCGCTCCAAGTGGTCTAGCGCTTCAAGGGTGTCCAGAGTTTCTGCAGTGGTGCAAAAGTGTGGGCTTAGGGTGTCCATTGAGACCCACACCAAGACATTGACTCTTCGATTCGATCAAATGTTTGTTCATTCCACGTATTGCAGACACAGTCTTGCTTTTTGCTTGCATTCACTGAGAGACTCCGGAGCCGCCCAGGAATTGAGTGAACTCACAGACTTCTCTTTACGATCAGAGCAGAGTCAGAGAAGGTTCCTTTGATGTCTCTCAGCGCAAACCTTACGGAGAGTCTCCTGTCTTTCCTCCCTCATCCTCACTCACTAGTCACTAGAAGTCCTCTTCCAGAAGTCTTAGGCACCTGATGCACCTGGTTCCTGTAGCCAGAGACACGAGTCATGATTCCGCAAGCGTTTTGGACAATCGTACGGCGCTGGCAAGGAGGGCCTGCAAGGTGGTGATTCGGGAGCTGGTGTGTCTCCCGAGCAGGCGCAAGTCGGTCGTTGTAGGTGGGAGCACAAATCCGGTCGAAGTTTCGGTCTGATCAAGGCCATGGAAGCCGCTTTTCAAGAGGTGGTATTGAACGAACGGCCCATGCAGTTCATCATAGTTGCCATTGCTGACCAAAAGTAGGCAAACCCTATATATGCCCTATGCCACCCAGCCGACCACCCACGAAAGAGAGAGAGAGAGAGATAGATGAAAGTCCTTTTCGAGAGTCGAGGTTTGCCAATTCTTTGAGGCCTGAGCTAGTGCGGTGCTACCCTTAGCCGTGAAAAGACATGTTTGCCTCCGGTCCTTGGTGATTGGTCTAGTGACTCTAGTGTAAACCATCACAAGTCCCACCATCTCAGATGGACCAAGTCAAAAGATTATATACATCAGGTTCTCCAGTTCTCATCAGAAATTTTGCTGTGCCTGAAGAATCAGATACAGGCCTCAGCCATGAGTAGATTTCTAACATGATACAGTGCAGTAGGCCAAAAGCCGCTCGTTCCTGTCCCTTTCTTGGCCTCTCTCGTATGTTTGCTCCATCTCCCTTATAAACTGACGACCTGACGACCTCGGCGCGTTTGGAACCACGACTGTCAGAGGTGACACGGTTTGAGGCGGTTGTTTTCGGCAGGCGGAGATGTTCTTCAATCTCTTCGGCGGCGGCCGACCGTCGCAGGGAACCACCCGGGTGGTCTTCAGTGGCCCTGGGGGCGAAAGCCACTCGCTGAGAACAATGAAATCCAGGCCTCTCCAGTGTTGCCAGGAATATAAGTAATTTGTCAGAAGAGGTAGCCTCCCTCCAACAATCATGAAAGTTGACCACTGATCCGAAAAAGACCCCGGAAGTGCCGAGAATGTCATGCACCTCCAGGCGCCATGCTAACCGGGCTCTCCAAGTGGCTCACTTTTTCCAGAAGTGGCTCACAGTGAATCGGTTGTGGCCCCCTAGAAAAGGTGGTGCTTTCGGCTCTCTTCGGCTCTCCGGTTTTTGAGTTTGGTGGTGTGGGCGCGTGGCAAATCGGTCGGGCGCTTTGAGGTATGGACGTTGATGGCATCAACCTGTCAGACATTTTCATGTCCATGGGTTTGGGCGGTATGGGTATGGGTGGTATGAACGGCATGGGTGGACTGGGCGGCATGGGCGGTATGAACGGCATGGGTGGTATGAGCGGTATGGGCAGCATGGGTGGTATGGGCGGATTGGGTGGCATGGGCAGTTTTGGGGGGCATGGGTGGGATGGGGCAAGCTCACCGGGCGTCAAGCAGAACCTATGGCACCATCAAGGCAGGTGAAATGGTGATTGTCCACAGCTTGAACAAGGCCAAGGAGCGCTTGGGCGACCAGGGTGACACGTGTGGCACATCAAGGGCAGAACATAGTGGCGGCTTGCAGTTGCATGCAGTTTTTGAGGGTCACAGGAATTGATGTATGTATCCAATGACAACTCCACGTATAAGGAGAAAATTTTGCACAGTTCTAGTTCTCGTGCCCCTTTAGGAAGAGTCTAGTCTATGTTCACTTGGGGTTCAGTGCAGTGTAGGGAAACCTTCTGGAAGATTGTCATCCTTGGACGTGTTCTGGAGGTGTTCTTCTGAAGCGTTTGGCCTGGGGTGGTTGTTAATTTCCCTGTGTGGAATCCTCTTTGAGGGATATGTCTTTCCCAGGTTGTTTGAGTAGATCCAAGTTGTCGTAGTCGCTGTTGTCAAAACTGGACCCTGCGACATGGTGCTTTCCAGTGAGCTCCCTGCCTTGGAGTTTCCCATTCTCGACCATCAAGCCAAGCCACATGAGATGGTGTTTGATTTGCTTTAGCCTACTCGGTTTTGAAGATGTGGAGATAGAACCAGTATATAACTGATGCTCCCAGACTCTGCCCATGCAGACTCTGCCACTTTGGTGCCGCATGGCCGGCCCATGCGAAACGGGTGCGTCGTTGACGCCGGAGAAATCGCCACGAGGAGCACAACGGAAAGCGTGGACACGTGGGCGGCTTCGACCCTCAGCGTTGCCGCTATGAGATTCGCCTAGAGGACGGCCCGGTGATCCATGTGCGTCCTGAGAACATCACTCAGCAGAGCACCGTGACCATCCATGGGTTGAACAGCAACTCTGGATGAAATCAAGAAAGGAACTTGTTTTTGTCCATCAATTGACAGAATGGCAATGTTTTTGTTTGGAGGCAACTCGCATTGGTGCAGAAAGCTCAGAGCAAAAGGAAAGTTGTTGATGTTCGTGCATGCAAAACTAGATGTCAGTGGATGACGCGTTTCATAAATAAACTTTGTCATTAGTCAGTGCTTGCTTATGGACTGATTGCCTTTGGATGTTGTTTCTCCACTTCGGGGTTCTTGAATCAATAGTAGCCATTAGTAACTTAGTAGCCTCCACTTTTAGATCCATCATGATCCATCAGTTGAGGCAAGCCAGAACTCAATGGCAAGACTGCCCAGATCGTGAGCTTTGATCCGGCGACCAAACGCTATGTGGTTTTGGTGAATGCTGGCAGCGCAGCTCCAGTAATCGTGAGCCTGCAAGGCGGCAACTGTATCTTGAAACCTGGTACTGCCGTGAGGCTTTGTGGCCTAAGCAAGGCGCAACTCAATGGCTCCAGAGCACAGGTTTCGGAGGTTGACTTGTCTGCTGGCCGGTACCAAGTTCATTTGGAGAATGGCAAGCAGATCAAGGTGAAGTTCGAAAACGTTCTTTGTTGAGACTTTCTCAGGCCTTGAGCTTCATTTTTGCGCCCTTTATAGGCGATCGAATTTTCTGATCTTCTGCACAGAAGAGAGCAGCATTTTCCGGAAATTGCTGCAGCCCACGGGATTTTAGTAGTACCCCAGTCCAGACCAAAGCCTGGACACTCAGAAAGCAAATGCCATTGAATCGCTCCACCCGAAGGGGATGGGAGCATCAATTGTACAGATTGGCACTGCGGACTGAGCAAAGACCGACGCACGTCAAATCCATCGAAAAGAGGGCGCTAACCGCTAGCTGCGAGCTCTTTCAGAGCCACCCAGTGCTTGACGCAGTCCACCCACTAGTCACTAGACCTCAAAGTCGACCTCTCAAAGATCATGGACCTGGAGGTGTGAAGCTCCGGGTTGTGGCTTTGACCCACCGTTCCGAGTCCGGAAAGAGACTGTCCGAAACAGTGGCAGAGTGTACAAAGGGCCCCAAATGCATGTTAGCTGGCCGCGCAAGTCACGAGAAAGATATGAAAATAAACATGTCATCTCTCTTCATCGAATCCAAGTGGTCTTGATCCGCATCCTGAACCACGAGATTCATTGTAGGGTCTGCTTAGCCTTAGTAGCCGCAGAAGTATATAACCAAATAAGGATTCGGGCTTCATTGATTCATGCCGATTTTGTTGGGACATGTAGAACTTGATGTCATTGGTTACACGGATTGGTGAACGAGCTCTGGGAAGATGGCTTGTTTTGTTGAGTGGCTTGGGTCAATACCTGACCCGCACCCAATCATTGTAGGTTGACATCCCTAGAGTCTAGAGGATTCGGTTCACGCTGGGTTTTTAACCCACGGTCATGCCTTTGTTTATGTGTCTTTTCCATGCATATGCATAAGATTCGGAACCCTACGCATGTTGTGAGAAGTTCGCAGCCACCACCAAAACCTTTGGGAACAAATAGATATACGCAAAGCTGTAAGACTTTCAAAAAGAGACGTTGGCAATATGTGGCAATGACAAGTTTTCAAAATTGTCATGCAAGTCACCTTTTGTTGGTGAAAAAAAAGGGTTGCCAGGGTCGCCTCAGGCCAATCTTCATGCCGCCCTTGGCTGCTCTCACGGGATCGTCGGCCTGGCGGCTTTGGGACATAAATCTGCCATGAGCTGATCATTGAATCCCTGGTATAGGAGAAAAGGATAGAAAAGGGTGAATTCATTCCATGATTTGTCAGCTAGATCATTTCGTCGGCTTCAGCTGTCAGAGATCTCTTGGAGCCGAAAGAAAATTGTGTGTTTCTTCTAAATGGCTCGGCCAGTCCGATTATACTACTTGTAGACTTACTCCCTGGAATCATCATCGAAGTTGAAAGCCGCCTATTTGTAGAGGACAGCAGGTGCCTTTTTTCCACTTTTATGATGATTCTAGGGAGATCAAAGGTTGTATGAGAGGTGACCTGGGGTTTCTATAGGATGTGGTCTGGCCACTACGCCCCTCGACATCTCAGCCCCCGCCAGGTCAACGGCGCAGCCGTCATGCATCCCAGCCCGGCCGTCATGCATCCCCAAAAGGACTCGGGTGCTTTTTTGGGCACGAGTTTCCTGTTTGCATGCTAGTCAGTGCGAGTGCAAAGGCCTTTTCTAGAGATGGTTTGTTCAGTTAGAACAAAGACACTGTTGCCGAATGTTCATGGACGGTCAAGCCAGCGGTCAAAGAGAGGTCAACTCTTCAGAGCTTTCCATTGACTCACGCCCTGTTGAAGCCGTTGGGCACATCCATGATGACATGGGATGTGCACCTGTGGACAGGCACACTATGGCACACTTCCATACTTCGCTCCTGACATCGTCCACGAAGCCACGGACGGCCGCGAAGGTCCACGACGCCCTCGGTCTTGGCGCCTTTGCGGCGAGTGCGGCGCCCCACCAACTGGCGTCCGGGAGCTCGAAGGGGGCCGGAGAGGTGGAGCACGGAACCGCTAGTAGCGTCCTTGCTCCTAGTAGTAAGGCCAGGAGCCCCTAGTAGCGTCCTTGCTCCTAGTATTGAATTTTGGGGAGGGAGTCGGAGGGAGGTGCTTTTTCAGTCGACCTGAAAGAGAAGCCATGATGATAACTTTTGAATGCAGCCGAGTCTGGGTTTTGATAGAACTAGACATCGCAACCAGCCTGGAAAGGTGAGCTTTCCAAAAGGATGATCCATACATATCCATACACTTTTGTTTCGACTCCTTTTCCTTCACAAGTGCAGTGGATTTGGGCGTTCCCTTGTATGGCAACATCCAGAGGAAGGAGCAGTTGAAGGTGCCAAAGAAATGCTCTAGAGGAGTCCCACTCGGCCCCTCGGCTGGCACTGAGGCTCCAGCTGGCACTGAGGCAGCCGATTTCTGGAGGGACAGGATACGTTCGCGCCACATGGCTCCATGTCCTCGACCATTCCTGGTTTGTTGATGAAAAGCCGGTCAAAAGAAGTCCAGTTCGAGATTTGTGCACACTTCTAGCCGTTTGTAGCGATGCCGTTTGTTACTAGTAGTAATGCCAGGAGCTACTACTAGCTTCTTGCTCCTAGTAGTGATGCCCTTGTTACTGGTTTGATGCGATCAGGTGGTTGCTTCCCAATCCGACATTCCCTCCTGGACCAGCACAGCTTCAAGAGCGGCCGTGCTCAGACGAATGATTAAGGATGATTAAAGCTTTGCCAAGACATGCAAAGACCCACCACCAATAGCATCCAATAGCACAAGCTAGTTCTGCAGAAGCTGATGGAGTCCATTTTCGGTTGGTACTGCAGCTTTGAGGGTGTTATAGCACTATTTCAATGTATATAATTAAATGTATGTAAATAATGATACTGTACTGTACATATATACTAAGCTGTTAACCGTTGAAATTAATACAGTGCGAAGGCTGTCTCACCATTGTACAGGGATCTGGGGCACACCGTCGCCAGATTTCAAAACTGAAATCTCGTGATGAGCGTTTTTTTTTTCCCCCGGTTCAATCAGAAAAATGTGCGAGCTCATGTGTCAATGTGGGAGCTTGTGTGCCTTGAGCACTTGAGACTTCGGGCAGCACACAAATTTAAACATGACATAGTTGGAGTAAAGAAGCCAAAAGGGCAGGAAGAAACTGTGAAAGCACCTTCAATGCTTCATGATGTTTCTAGGAGATCCTGAACAAATCATCGAGCTTGTCTCACTTTTGACCTCGTGCGTTTTCATGGTGCAGGAGGCTTTGGTGCAGCATTTGGATGCCCAAACAGCCATGGAGCAAGGTACATGGACTGCTTCTTTGCTGAGCTTTGTTGGCCTGTCCGCGTGTTCATGCTGCTCGGTCATGTCGGAAAGGACGGGGGCGAAGGGGTTTTCCACTTCCACGTTTGTTTTGCCGGATCGAGGTGGTTTCCCTGAAAGAGTCCCTGGAAGTCCAAGAAGAGAAAGAAGAAATTTTACAGTAAACGTGTTTGGCTCGGTGACCGGAAAAGGGACATCCTTACTTCAGACAGTTGGGCAAAATGTTGTCTTTGGACGTCTAGGGTAGTGGTAAATGGATGGTAATGGTGTTGCTTGGGCCTGCTTCAGATCCCAACTCATGATCCTAGGCTTAGTACATCATAGTACATCGTGTCACTAGCAAACTCTGGCGTCACTGGCATTGTCGTGCAACTTTCGAAGATAGCAAGTGGCTGTTCGCAAACAAATCATGCGAACACTTGGTTTGGGAGCAATTGAGTCGTACTCGGCACAAGCATCCTTGAGCTTGCTTACTTCAACTTGGAGAAATCACTAATAATGCAGTCCCCTGCCTTTGATGCACTGTCCTTCCAGGTGAAAGTACTGCTGTAGGCGTGGTGCGGCCATTTTGAGATGCTTTGAGGGTCCAAATCCGCTTGGCCAATCTCTTGCTGTGTGTTCTTTGCTTACAGAGGTGAATTGGGTGAATCACAAGGGGGCGACTGGGAGCTTGGAATATGGGCAGTTTGCCACGTTTGGGAGGCACGCATGACACCGAAGTGAGGACGACATCCATGCCAGAGGCCGCTGCAGTCCACGGAGTTGTGGCATGGAATCCTTGAACCATTGAACTCAGAACAGATGAGTCAGAGAAGTCAGTCAGATGTATGTGTTTCGCGACACAAAGTGGCATGATCAAAGTGACATGCGAGATGTTTCTTTGGCCAAGAGAGAGAGAGAGAGAGAGAACAACATTTCTGTGGGGAGATGCAACGCCAGAATTTGCCTCAAAAGAAGAGATGTTCAAAGGGTGGACGCAATGATATATAGTCTCTGTCAAAGTGCATGTGGAAAAACACGAAGGCCACGGAAGGAGCGGAATCCTCGCTCCGCTTGACGTTGTGACTAGCAGAAGGAGGTCTTTGTTTCAATTGCTATAATATACTGTACCATTTGTTGATTACATTGATACAAAAAACTGTATTAATTCTACATACCTGTACTTGTGTCATATGTATATAGTACACAGATTTAATCCTGAAGTTCTTACAAGAGAGGACTCAGAGAGGACCTTTGTTGCTTGTAAACACAGGTAGAACTTCGCTGCCCGTGTTTGGCCAAAGGTGAAGCCTGCCATCAAGATCATCTCAGCAGTGGAGGTTGATGAAGAGAGTCTTGGAATGTCTTGGATGGGATCGTTGATCATTTCGTTGATTCTTGACCCACGTGAAAAGAAAAGGGTGGACAGACCTTATTTTGCAACAAAACGATTGTCAAACATGTGGCATGTTCGGTAACAGTATTCATTCTTTTCAACGAAGGCGTTCGAGTCAAAGTTGCGATTCACCGCCTTCAAGCGAAATCGTGTGGAAGAACCAGCCTCAACATAGCCATGGCTCAAGAAATGGGCCAATCTACGTACACATCGCATAATTTCTCAGAGTGGCACAAAGTGGGAAGGTTTCTGGAAGATCAAAACTTGGGGTGCCACCTGAATCCGCTGCAAAAACTGGACATACACTCCCTGAAATGATCATGGAAGTGGACAACCACTATAGTTTGTAGAGGAAAATGGTCATCCAAGGGCCAATGTAATCCACTTCCATGATTATTTCTTGGATCTGCTTTTTTAGGGCCACCTCCACATCTGTCGAGGAAACACCACAAGGCCTGTGGTTTCATTCCAAAGCACCAAGGCTTTCCTCCAGGTCAACCTCTCTTTACAACCCCCCAGAGCGGCCCTCGGTCAGGGTAGGGTGATACTCACATAGGGCTTGGAGTTTTGAGAGAAAATGACGGGGATCCCAGACTCAAAGGCATTCCGGTTCTTTTCATATCATATCTTTTCAGGGCAGTTCTTCTCCTAGAGATCATGTCTCATCTCACTATATAGACTAATTCAGTTCCCTCAAATCCTCTCCAAAACAAAGAAGTATCACTTCTACCCCCCAGTTCCTCCTTGACCCTGGCGCATCTCTGGCATTCTGAACAGAATTACACCGTCCTTCCGTCTCGCCCTCCTCGCCGTCCCTTGAGCAGAAAATCCACCGACACGGCTGAAGGATCCGGCTCACTGTGATGCTCTTTTCCGGCCGGGCGTTGATTTTGCAGGTGCGCACCGAGACGGACAAATGCCGGTCGACTCTTCGGGACCCCAGAATCGCGTGTTGCACGTGGAAAACCCAGCACAACCACCACCACCAATACAATTTAAAAACAATTTTGTGTTTTAGTAATGTAGTGTGTTTTTCGGTCGTCGGTCGTCGTGTGTTGTTGGTGTTGTTGCTGTTGTTGTTTGCGAAAAGGACGTCGCGCGGAGGTTTTTTGGGAGGGAAGGATTGAAATGTATCCAAAAGGTTCACCATCATCACAACAATACGCCAGGGAACTGAACACCAGTGGTTTGTTCGTGTTTGCTCGTTCTTTTTGCCGCGTGGTTAGTTGGTGTCATGTGAACAGGAGTGTCACCCAGTTGTTCACAATGGAAAGAATGCTCCGCAGACTGCAGACGGATTGGAAGATGTTTCTTTTGATAGTAGTTACTAGACAGGGTGTGACTTGTGATCTCAGGGGGATGCTAGCACAAGCATCGCAAGCATAGCAAGCATTTTGCATTGAGCACAACATCTTTACATTCGTTCAAAAGACAAGTTGTTCTTTCCTCCTTGCAATGATCTGACACCGATCATTGCAAGGAGGAAAGAAAGAATACAAATCGATGACTTTTGTCAAGAATTTGAGATGACTCTGGCAAGCCTCAAAAGTCTTTGCATGCCTTTGAACCTTCTTGTGAGATGGAGAGCACTGAAGCCATCTAGACACCGCTCAGCTGCTACAAGCGCACAGACTTTTGAAACACGTTGGCTTCAGTTCAACTGCTTCCTTCCAGAACAGACAGAGTTCTGCTCCCAGACAGGATCAGAATCTTTTTGCCAACACTCTTAAGTGGGCAGAATCCATACACACAGTTGTTGGTTCTATTGCAGCCTCGTAAGTACCAGAAAGCCAGCTGGATTTAGAAGAAGGAGCCCACTATATATATATATACATATATTATATATATATATATATGCATGCCCATGAATTCTGGCTTGCGTACCAAAGCTCGGGCCTCTCCTGCTTGCCAGCCACGCAGGCCACAAGCTTACAAACAGTGGCAGACCTAAAGATCGAAATTCAGAACAAGGAGCAGATACCATTGCAAGAGCAGCTTTTGGTGTTCAATGCGCAGCTGAGATCTTAGCTTTGTGGGTCCAGAAGATTTGCTTGGCTTTGGAGATGAACAGTTGTCGGCCCTCAAATACTTGCAGGATGGTGATGCAGAACGTTACAATGCAGAAAGTTACTCTCTGACTCACTAACATGGAAGTGGAAGTGGACAATAGGTCCCTGTAAGATCATTGGCTCTACAAACAGGGGGCTTTCCACTTCCATGTTAGTGAGCAGGAGAACATATTATATGATGCCATGATTCACCACTTTCAGTGTTTTCTTTAACCTTCCTGACAGCTTGAGGCCCTTGAGAAACACTGCAAGACTTTGCGACTATGGAATCGGTCATGACGCTGATTTGCAACAAGTGCGGTCACAAGCGGGCGGGCGCATGGCAGCACGTGCAATGTGACAATGGAACATAAGAAACACACTAAGATTCTTGAGATCAACGGGTGCATTCTGAGCTGATTGGACTTTTTGATTTGATACTTTTTGTATGTGTATGTTTCTCAGAAGTGATAATTAGCAATTCAGAAGCAAATTTGGTTGGTCATCATGATGTTGAAGCTCTACCATGAGGGTTCTGTGAAAGTCTACTTTGCTGCACTTTCTAAGTTTGGGTAGTCTGATGCGACCAAGGATTCCTCCCTGAACCTTGTTCGTGTCATGCCCTTGGAGTTGAAGATTATGACGGCTCGTGCCAAGTGGAACATCCGGTTGCAGCCGCAGGACGCGACCTTCCGGGGTGAGATATTTGGAAACTGATGGAAACTGCCAAGCCAATTATATAATTGATTTTTAGATAAGCTAGTATATAAACATATATAAACATTTTTCGGTCTATATCGTGTTATAGTGTTTTTGTGTACTAGCGCATTCTAATGTATTCTAACACACGCGCACACACCCATGCTTTGTAGCTGTACAAAAGGGTTTTGTGAAATATTATGTTGAAGAGCCAGAATCAGGCCAGGACCTTGACAAGCACAATTGGTGTTGATCATTAGATGAAGGTTGTGGCAGCGTATAACCTCGACTTTGAGGAATACCCAATATGTTTGGTTCAGGAAGAGCACGAAAACGAGCACGGAACCTACAGGGTGTCCGCTGTCTTTTTGAGGCAAAGGTTAATCATCCAATGTTGAAGGTCTTGGAAAGCTTAGCTCTGGGCACAGGATACTGTGGCGGAAATCAAAACGTTCGTGAACGAGAAGATGTCGATTCCAGTGGAGCAAATGCTCTTTATTTGCAGAGGCCACGCCACACGGCAGACAGCGGCCACTATCACTTCGGAGGTCACGGAAAGAGTTCGAAAAGAAAGGCGACCTGCACTGTCCACCCGATACAGAGTTTGGTGAGAAACTGCGTCCCACCCCCTCGCCGCTGGTGAAAGCCGAAGGCTGGCACCACCATTTCCACTGTTGCGAAATCGGCAGGTAAGCCATTGGAGGATGGTCCCACGTTGCAAGAGATGGGCGTTCAGTCTGGTGACCAGGCGAGGAGGATCATTGACCACTGACGATTGACCGTGAAAGGCACTTCATGCATTTCGAACATCAGATGTTGTTCAGAATCGTGTGCGGAAGTTGTGTTTGTTCAACCTGTGCGTAGTTGAGCGATCGAAGGGTCCAGGTTAACGAAGCTATATAACCAGTACTACTGGATTATGTTGTTTAATGTTTTTAATGTTGTTCCTGACGATGTATTTGGCATTCTCACAACCGTACCCCATGTCCAACTTACGCAACAGCCGAACAGAACTCCTAGGAACAAGAAGCTACTAGGAGCTCCTGGCATCGCTACTAGGAGCAAGGACGCTACTAGGGGCTCCTGGCCTTACTACTAGTAACAATAAAGCTACTAATTTTTACTTGTTTGTGTACCTTCGCACTGTGACTCAGGTGGCGTTGATTCTGCGTCTCAAGGGATGCGGCCAATTCATCGTGGAGACGGACGAAGGACACCGGCTTCGTCCAGACCCTGGCGACCCCCCTCCCTACTTGATTAAGTAAGCGCCTACTCAATTAAGTAAGGAACTGTGGTAGCCAGTACCTACAAGTAAGCTACTATATATGGACGCAGGATAGCTCATCCTTCTTCAAGGAAGCTCCCCCCCGCCGCCCTAATGCATTTAGTTCCTAGACTTTGGGGGAAACTTAAGTTCCCCAGCTACTAGTAACAAGTGCATCGCTACTAGTAACAAGTGCCTTACTAGTAGTAACAAGAAGCTAGTAGAAACAAGTGCCTCGCTACTAGTAACAAGTGCCTTACTAGTAGTAACAAGAAGCTAGTAGAAACAAGTGCCTCGCTACTAGTAACAAGTGCCTTACTAGTAGCAACAAGAATCTAGTAGAAACAAGTGCCTCGCTACTAGTAACAAGTGCCTTACTAGTAGTAACAAGAAGCTAGTAGAAACAAGTGCCTCGCTACTAGTAACAAGTGCCTTACTAGTAGTAACAAGAAGCTAGTAGAAACAAGTGCCTCGCTACTAGTAACAAGTGCCTTACTAGTAGTCCTCATGGCAGGATGAGGTCATCGATCTGAGGGTCGGGGTCACATGGGGTCACCGGCGGCGCTGGAACTCTGTGGACCGGAGTTGATTTGGACCTAATCCAATCACTGACGTGCATCAACTGTGATTATCACAAGAATTTTAGTCAGAGGTCAAATTCCAATCCTATTGATCATATACAGCTAGGGAGTCGTTAGCATAAATATATGCATATATTATATAGAATTAATCTAGAAATACATATATATATATACTATCTTATTTATCTTGAAACTGTTCCAAAAGAACACCGCTTTCACACCTGGTACGAATCATCTCTCCTTAGCATCCCATAGCGACCCACTCGAGACTCCTTGATCATTTCGATGCCGAGTTCGATCACCGAAGGAGATTCCTTCCGTGTGGATGGCGCCTGTGCCGATCGGACGGTGGCGGATGTGAAGACGGCCATCCGCGACCGCACGGGACCGCACGACCGGCAGTGACCGGTGCCATTGGGGCCGGAAGACGGACGTGATGCCGAAGCAGTGCGGCAGGGAAGCCATCATTCTGAAATTCTGCCCTGGCCCGGTTTTAGATGGTTTTTGGTATGCATGAGTCAATTTGGCGGAAGGAAGACCCTATTCGAGCTACACACTGAAAAATGCGTGTGAAGAAGGGTACACAGCTGTGAAGGAGGGTGGGTCTCAACACTCAATTCCTGCCATGGAAATCAGCGGTCGGAAATGTTTGAGGCTCAATCCATCATTGTTCCAAAGAATTCAGGAAGCTAGCTGAAGGGAACACAGGCATTAGGAAGAAACAAATAGACTCACAGGTCATTCATGTCGTCCAATGTCCAAGGGTTTTGGAGGTCCTAGTGGCCAACTTCACATGCACAACGTCACTCGCACATGGGTGAAACCCTTTTGAACAAACCACCTTTTTGGTTGCCTTGTTAGCTGCGTGTGGGCTTGTACGTAAATTAGGGACGCACCCGATCAATCCTTTTTGTTCCTTCCAGGGCGTCTTTAGGAGGGGTCCATTTTTGAATGTAGAGCCATGTATATTATAAGTTTAGTATAGTTTAGTATACAATACCGATGGAGCCACCGCCCTTTGTGCCACTGGACCCGCGGTCGACTGATCTCCCCAGGACTTGCACCGAATGAGCAGATGTTGAGCTATCGAGCACAGGTGGCAAGCACTGATGCAGCTTTTTCAAGGGCTTTACAAGATGAAGAGGGTTGGTACAGTAATATATACACTATAATTACTTGCACGAAAGGCGATTTCTGTGCTTGAAAACACCTGGATCGCCCTAATGTTGTTTCTTTTCTTCCTGGGTCTACGGTGTGATCCTTTCAGCAGACGCAAATCTTCCAAATCCTCAGCAAGGCAGATGCTGCGCCAAGCAGCCAAGCAACTGTTTCCGCTGCTGGGAGATAAATGAAATCTTCCGGATCTCGTGGACCAAGTGCCCCCGACAATATCTCCAGGTCTTGGAAGACAGCAACACCTTGGAACACTATGGCATCAAAAGAGAAGCCTGGTTGCGCCGAGTGGCCGAGTGGCATCCGACCAAGAATGTATGATTAGAAACAGTCTGGATGGGTCAGACTGGTGCAGGAAATAAAACCTGGTCCTGCTTGAGGGTGTTTGAATGTTTGAATTTCAAATTTCAACTCTCTTTTCAGGACAGACATGCAAACAACCAATCCCAGTTTGCTTGGTTGAGGTGAAGCATAGAGGCGCGAGACATAGTGAGAATTAGTGAGACATAGTCAAAAACTCTTGGTACAACCGCGTTCAACCGCAACGGTGTGTGACGAAGGTGAAAAATTCACAGGGCAAAGTTACCGGATGAGCTAAAAAGAAGCCGGCAAAGCGCAGTTGCAGGCATGTGCTGGGTATGTGTATCCCAGGTGTCAACTTTCTTGAATTACAACATGCGCTCCCCAACGGTTAGAATATTTATGGAGCGACCTCACTGCAACACAAACAACAGGAAGCAATTTGGCCATTTGCAGGCTTGACCAACATATGTTCTGGAACGACAGAAGTTCTCAGCGATTTACACAGGGATTCTTCCAACAAAAAGCGAGCTGGTGTCCGCAGAGAGTCAGCAGCTTAGAGCTCTAAGCATTTGCAGGGCTACCTTCGCCAGTATCCCCCAATGCAACAAACCAATTCGCCAAACCAAATTTAAGAATTTCCAAAACACTTCAACATGCTTCCAGCACAAACCTGCAAAACAAGTGCAAACTTGTGTGGCATCAACTCGACCGCTTTCCAGGCACCAAGCAAAGGTCCTTGCCACGTTGGGCACTTTCGGCATCTGTGTCTGTGTGAGTGAACTCCTACTGTAGTGGTTCCATCATAATCTGAGTTGACAGTTCAAATGGAGTAAAGACTGACCAGCGAAAGGAAACCATGCTTTGTTGATCAGTCAGGTCTTTGTATGTGAGACAGTCTTCTGTCAAATAGAGGCAACCATAGGCAACCATATTTAATATTGATTTCCAGGGCATGAGTATTCTTGTGAAGTTGTGATGCCGATGATGTTTTCACCACAGGGTTCCCTCATCGTGACTGACCGATGCGGCTGACCGAGGAGTGCAAGATCCAGCTGACCCGGCGTAAGCAGGAGAGTGCAGGGAAACAGTGGTTGCAGTCATCATTGTATATAAAATCAATTGTCAGAATTTGGGTAAGACAACAATATGAAGGTTTGCCCAATTGACCTGCACTACTTGCTGTGAGGAGATGCCCCAACATATGGCTCTCTTATTTTTGCAGAAAGGTGTCCCTTAGATTCGTTTGGATGTCAGGGTGCTTTGGCTCTCGATGCATATGGAATGATCGCCCTAGTTTCTGGTAACTGGATCCTTTTGTCCTTGATATGTGTTGCAGGGCAGGTGTGCTAGCCGCCAGCCTTGTACTGGGGCAGACACAAATTAAACAGCATTGATATACTGACATTAGCTTCAAACAACTGAAACCCAGAGCCAGAAGGGCATCCCTGCCACCAGAGACTTTGCTGTGAGCCCGGAGCCCTCACAGGATGGATGCCGTGAGAATTGCTGCTTTTGCTGCTAGGTCAGAGACTGAGTGCGTGAAGTTCGCGGTGGACTTCGGGCAGAAACCGGGTACGTCCTCAAAAACCTCGAAAAACCCGCGCGGTTGAGATCTCGTTGATTTTGGGGGGAGCAGAGAAAGATTATCGTTCGAATCCAGATGAACGCTGAACCAAGGAGCGTTTCAGAAGGCTGGGCTGTTGCTTGCACCACTAGGACAAAATGTTGTCTTCTTGAAGGTTCCAAAGTGAAAAACCATTCCCTTAGAATCCTGCAAGACACTGACGTCACCTCGCTCGGTCGAAAGACTACCCTCCAAAGCTGATTGACTACAATTACTTATATATATACATACCATTATTATATAGATATATGATATATATATATATAAGCGGGTTATAATTGACCAACCCTTACTGGCCACGCAAAATGGACTTCGTAATTCGACCGCGGCTGATCCACATGGATGTCTTGAAGACCCGGTAAGAAGAAAAACGTTCTTCCTCCTGAAGTATGCTCCGCACATGTTCCCGTCCGCTTGAGGCCTGGCTTAACTGTTGGCAAACGCTCACCTCCCGGCCACGTATCGCTAGTCTCACAGGATCTCACAGTTCATCAATGTTGCGACGGGCAACAGACGTCATGTGCTTTCAAACAGAGCAGTGACGGTGAGCAGATCGACATTTGCTGCATACCCACTGCATGTTTGTGAGAACCACAAAAGTTTTGGAAGACCTGCAAAGTCAAGTGCTGGAATGAAAAGATTGATGTTAAAGAGAGATGAGGTAGGCAGCACTTGTCTAATGGCTGGAAGAAGGCTTAAGTGCTGAGTCTTCCAGAGTCAATTCAGTGTGGAAGGTTGCAGGACGAATGAATCCAAGATGATGATTTCAAGTGCAGTGACGCAGCAGTTCGTTCCTAGCGGTGCCCTCCCACAGACTTGCATGGACTCTCAACATTAGAGGCAAAGGAAATGGATTGAATTTGGTTTTCAAGAAACATCAGAAACGATATCTTCCAAGCTCATCCGAGGTCCATACGTGGTTTTGGGAGGGGTTAATTCAAGAATTTGAAAAGGCCCTAAGAGGCATCCTTTCTGGGTCTCCGGAGTCATTGCGAAGAATCTTTCAGTGGGTGGTACGACGAAGTCGTGCTCCGCCTGCAAAGCGCAGAATAAGAGCGTCAACGCTGCAGAAGAAGGCACGGGAGAAAGGAGCTTCCATGCCACTTGGCTCGCTGAAAAAGGTTGGCAAAAACAGAGAACATTGCTGGGTCATGGAGGATCATGGCCACAAATTTTTTTTTGCGGATCGAGCGGTTTTTAGTTGTCCCTTTGGGTAAGACCCCTTCTCATGGCTTCCGAGTCAGCAAATCTTAAAAATGCATGCATCAAACACCTCAACATCTCTATTCTTTTCAGCGCCACTATGGTGGAGGCGGAAGCGCTTGTTTCAGGGACCACAACTGACTCCAGCGGTGTGATTTCGACGCGATGTTGGGACTGGGAGCTCTTGTGTGTATGCCAGAGAGAATAAGTTATACTGTATATTGAATTATATAAGGGATGTGATATGAAGGCAGGGTATTATGGTGGCACAGAGGTCCCCTCCTCATCGCAAGGATGGGAAGGAACCAAAAAAGTCTTGCTTTGTGCAAGACGATATTCAAACAGTTCAGACGAACCAAGCAAAGAGTCCATTCCAGCTTGGAGCTGTGACCTGCCGTTGTGAGCGAAAGAGCCAAAGACGGGCCAAGCCAAGCGCAAGATCAAAGGATGCTCCTTCTGGGCTACATTCTAGACTACATTCTAGAGAATTCTTGGTGTTGTTTGTATATATGCCGTCAAACTTATTGGACATGTTGAAGGAGTTTCTTGACAGTCTAAGAGCTCATAAATATTTCAACAAGCTTTGCGTTTGGATCCAAGCTCTTTGCACTGTCTTTCCAGGTATGTTGAAATTAAATAGTGAGAAGCTCTGGAATTTTCAAGGCTGTTTGACACATCGAGAATTCTGTGCAGCAAACTGCAGTGTTGGATCAAACATGATGAGGTGCAAACTGACGGCATTCCATGGAAACTGCATGGTTTCAACGGCCTTGCAGGATATTTATGCGTCAAGCCAATCAAGACATACTGGGCATCGGAATACAGTGATAAAAGACCTCACACTTCTCGGCATGGAAGAAATCTTGGAGAGGTTCTTCATGGCCCACCGATTTATGATCGATACTGATACTATAGTCAGTCATTATTTGACACTCGCACGTTTGCTGCTCAGACGTGTCATCCTTTAACCCCCTCCATCACCATGTTTCAAACATAGCAGATACGGCAATATTAGGTTCTTAGATGATATTAGCAGATGTCAGATGATGTCAGATGTTTTGTTTGGGTCCACTTCTGAAGACGTTCAAACCCACAATTGTTAGGATTACTTCAGACCCTGAGCGTTCGGTCCTCCATGAACAACGCCGAGTCAGACTGGCGTTCAGTCTTGGGGCCAGAACCGTTCAGCGCTTAGCCTTCACGTTGAGCTACAGTTACAGAGCGCATTTGATTCATCATGGACACCCAAAGAAGATCAGATTGCTAGAGGATCCGAAAATACATACCAGAAAGGATGTCTCATGATGTCCCAGTAGTATCGTCATTCAAGACAATGGTACCACCAGATGTATTGTGTTGAAGGAGTTTAGGTTTAGTCACTTTTTCTTTCTCTCTCTCTCTCTCTCTCTCTGTCTCCTCTCTCTCTGTCTCTTCCAATGACCTCATTCTGACAGCCACATGCAGCCACGTATTCGATTTCGAGTGAGAGTGACCAACGTTGTTTGGAGAGTGCACCATCTCTCTCCATCTCTCCGTCTCCACCGACCTCGCGCGCTGCGCTGCGTGAGGGCTCGAGGGCCCTCGGAAACCTCGTGGATGACGGTGCGCTCGCCGGAACCATCGCCTGTGCGCTGGGGCAGCCTGTCACCAGGCGACGCGAAGCGACGCGAAAAGCGACGCAAAGTGCGGAGCGGGGAGAAGGTCGGACTTGGAAGCTCAGGAGTGCTCAGGGGTTAGTCAATGAACATCCCTCTCAGCCACTCCGTCCTTGTTTTCCTTTTTTAGAATATGTTTGGATGACGTTATTTGGGCTTGGAGCGCCTGTGAAATGGAAAGGGTCTCACTTGTGACACGGATTTCGGACTCGGATGTGACGCGGAGCTGTGGGCTCACTTGTGCTGCTGGGGGGGGCGCTGCGCCCCCCCCA